CTTGTTGATTTGTGGTCTTGTGACTGGTCTTGTGATTGTCTTCTCTGCCTTTCCTCAAGGATTTTCCTTGTTTTGCCCCAGTGACCACTGTGCTCCTTCGGGTTCTACCAGCATAGTCTCGTATCTTGTTAGACATGTATATGCCTCTAAGAAGAGCCTCCCTGCTGTCCTTACTGAAGAGTTGCCCACCCAGAGTCTTGACTGTAGGGGACGGGCCAGAAAGCCAGTGCTGTTGAGGTGTTGGTTGGTCTTCAGTTTCACCTGCTGAACCCCACTTCAAGTGGGAGTTGCTGTGTTAGTCAGTGAGCCTCCGTCCGTGGGGAGAGACTTGGGAGAGGCACTCTTTTGTCTCCCTTGTTAGTTAACAAGAGGTGCCTTTAGACCGGATGTTACTGTCTCCTCATTTGGTCAAACCTATGGTGTAGTTTCACAGACCTGCTCAAGTGGGTCTAATATGGTTGTGATTAAGCCTGTGTGGAAAAGCATTACCTGATCTTAAGGTTTGGTGTTTTAATTCAAGTTGACAGACTTTTTTCAGCCATCTTAATGGATGTCTTAGGAGTTTTTACTCTCTTTACAGATAGTGCTAGACATCTTTTGGGAGATTTGCAGTCCCGGCATCCGTGCTATTGTTCACTCTCTGTGAAGGTCGTATGTAGTTGCTGTAGCACAGCCTGTGATACCGGGCTAGCTGCCTCTGTCTGGTTTTGTTGTTTCATCAGCCCTATCTTTGTATGTGAGTAACCCATCTTCAACATCTACCCTGGGTTAGAAACTGACTTGGGAAACGCTTTGTCATTCAAGCCATCAGTAAACTTAGATAACTATCCCTAAGTGTTTACTGTTTTTATCCAGTCTAGGAGTCTCTTTTTCATGGACATTTGGTACAGATTCTGGGACCAAAATGCAAAGAAGTTCTGTTCAAAGGCAAGAGTCAAAATCTGTTGTTTCACTTGGCATAATTGGCATTTACTACGTCAATCACTTCTCCAGGTTTCTCTAAATTAGCTCGATGGAGACAAGCAAACATCCACCTTGGGAACCATAGCATAGTTAAAATTAATTGTAGCTGGAATAACTAGCATTGCAAATGTGTAGTTCCCCACAATAACCCAAGGAGTGAAGGGACAGCATTTTGCTTAGGCAAAATCTAAGACTCATCTTCCACCTTCCTGGTACAGGAGGGTTTAAGTCTGAACGTGTAATGGGAGCATCACCTTTGCCAAATCAAATGAGTGACGGGTTAACTAGAAAATGTGACAATCACATTTCCTCTTTACTCAAGTAAGTCTGTTTTTCCAAAGCTTTAGCAGCTTAATTAAATCTGTTGGACGAGGGGAGGAGAGAACTGTTCTCTAGCGGTTAACATGGTATTCTTTAAGAAGAAGAAACAAAGCCAAAGAAAACTCATTATCAGGCACGTTTGCCTTAAAGATGGTAGTGGGTAGAATCTGGAGTTTTAATCTGTTTTTAAAGCTGCATATCTCATATTTGGTGTTGACCCCTAAGTCTAATACTTCGTGTGGAATTATTGCCTTATTTTATTTGAGTAAGCATTATGTGCATTTAACTGCCTACCTAGCGTTCTTCACCCATGATGACATTCTCACCACAGGGGTCTTGACAAAGCAGAGTAAAAATGTGCTGTTTACATAGTTTACTTGTAAGTAAAGAGCCTGAAATAACCTGTACTTTCACATCTAATGCAGGCCCTGATTTACTGGAGTTGTTGTCAGGATCGATTATGAAACTGTAGTTTGGTGCCTCCTCTTTATCATGTTTTTTCCCTTGTAGCAGTTGTGTTTAATGTCATTAAAAAGAAATAAAAGTTCTTGTCAGTGGCATATGTGCTGTGGCCGTCTGTTGCGGGTTTGAAGGAGAGTTCCTTCCTCCTTTGCGTAGGTAGGTTAGAGGGGTATGGGAGGGGGTGGCAGCTAGTAGAATGTGGTACTAGGGAGGCGAGGGTGAATGCTCCCTGTTCTTTTGAGGGTAAATTACAGTGTTGAGAAAGGCGTTCCAGCAGTTCAGAAATGTTGAAATTGATTGGGATTTGCAGCTACATATAGTGCATGTCAGGAGCCTGACGTAGGGAGAGCCTGAAATATCTCTGTGCTGCTGTTTTTGCAGAGGGGGAAGATGGCTCAGCCCGATCAGACAGGTATTGCCTTGCATTCCTTCCCATGGCTGTGTGGTTGACCCCCCTGTCTCTGCCTCTCCGGAGCTAGCATTGATTAAGGAAGAAGCCGAGCTATCCTGGGGCATTCTCCCTTTCAAAGGGATGTGAGAAACCAGAAATGACAGTACAAGATTGAGGGTTGTTCTTAACCCAACTTCTCAGAGATTGAGTGCTCCTAGAACCTGGGGTGAAGTTTGGATAAGTGTGGGTAGATGTGGGAGACACAGCGTTCCTTAGATCCCTTTTGTGAACCAAGCTTCTTAGACTTACCCCCAGGAGCAAGGATAAAAGGGAATGCAATAATAGCCTGTCACCTGTATTAGCCAATGCTTCTAAAATCTCAGCTCGTGCTGAGAAAAATAAGTAGCAACACATTGAGACAGGCTCTCTGTCCTGCTGTTCTAGAAGTTTTGTCTAGTATATATTCTACAATCCAGGCAAAAGGTTCAATATAAACTTACTAATTACCCAGCTATTTGATACTCTTGTCTGAATCTGAGGTACTCTTGACCTATACATATCCATTTTGTTCCTGTCAGGTATAGGTGATCTTTTCTCCAGTAACTGCTTATTTCCTTTTCAGCAGTGTGTTATTGTAGACATCAAAGGTTTCAGAGACCAGGCCGTATTCTCTGAAATGGTGATGTCCCTTACCCTCAGCTTGTTTTTAGGTCATGAAAAAGTGAGGAGGAGGAGAAATGGACCTTCTCTAAAAGGAATGGGTTCATTCCCTAACCAGCCTGTTTTGAGCTTTTACAGGAAGAAAAAACCCAACTAGAAAGCAGAGTTTCCTGCTTTTCTTCTTGTTGTCCTGCTTTTCAAGAGAAAACAATTATTCCTAAGCTGATTCTAGGGTATGCTTGCTTTGTATGCCAGAGCACCTGTCAGGAAAAAAATTTCCACTTGTCACAGGAAGTATCAGCTGGTCAGTGGTGGAATTCTTTAGTGAACAAGCTCCTGCCTTGTCAGTCCTCCCCACCTGTTCTTCCCTTAGGACAACTGGAACATGCCATAGACAGAAAATCTGACCCTCCCCGGCACCCACTGAGAAGGGAGTGGAATGTAATCCTTTGGACAACCTTTAAAGAGTCCATGTGATAGTCCTGAAATGTATCATTAAGGAACTATTTGTATACAAAGATCTTCAACTTAGCTTCAAGTGACATTTGAGGGTTTGGGAATATTATACTTACGGAGCTTGGTGGGGCTGGATTGGGGGGGGGTGTCCCATTTATAGAAGCAATTTGTTCTTGGAGGCTACTTCTTAAAAGCGAAATCCCAAAACAGTCAAATGGGTTTAAAGAGGGTGAGAAATAAAGTAGAAGTCTGAAACATCACATGACTGGAGTAGGGAGTTGTTACATATTTCTGTAAAGGGTTGAATTAGAGATCTTAAAACTGGATTCTAGAGGGGGCCCATACTAAAAAGCTAGGGGTTGAGGGGACAAGATTAGAAAGAGAAAAGGACTCCTGCCCCTCAGAAACACTCACCAGTCCTTCCTCTCCTCAGACCCTGGGCTTTCCCTCTTGGCTTCTTCCCCTTGGCTCCCACTCTAGGTGGTGCTGGGGTCTGGCAATCCTCTGTTCTCATTCCTTTGTTTTTGAAATAGGAAACCAAGGTCCCTCCTCAGAGAAGTAATTGTCCTGAGCTGCTACATGATTACAAGGCAGGGTCTTCTGCCTCTCAGTCCAGCATTCCTTCCACAGGCCCGCTGTGGTCAAGTCAGGTCTCTTAGTCTCAAAGAACTTGCCTGGGCCCTTCCCAAGCTGTGAGGAATCTGCAGACCTAAGTGAGTGGTGAAGAAAGGACCACATCCCAAGCTGTAGGGTTCTACTGTGCCACGGTAGCTGATTCAGGAAAAGCTCAATTATTGTAGAACTTGGGGGTTAGGGAGGTAATTAAAGGAAACGGAGTTTAGCTAAGCAGGAATGTTGTTCACTCCCCTCCCCTCACACCCCCCTCCTGCCACCAGCTGATGTCCTGGAGGCACAGGTAAGTTGAAGACAGGACTCGCCCATCAGCAGTGCTCCCTGGACCCCACTGACAGCTGTCTATACCTGATGCTGAGTTGGGGGCTTCTCCAACATTTGGCACCAGATGGCCACAGAGGGCTTGGAAAGTACCTCTCTGAGGTCGGGCTTATTAGAGTTCTGTGTGCTAACTGATTTCTCACGTTCCCACCCAGCCTCTAAGACCCGCTTTCCCTCTGCTCACAGAACCTTCCAGAACAGCCTACCCTAAGCCCTGCTCACCTGACCTTTTCTCTCCAAGCTCTTGCTGGTTCTGGACAGAAATGTTTGAGGTGCCCTATTTACTGGTTTGCCCACTGGCACCGTTACTCTACCTTTCAGCCTGCTGTTGGGATCGTAACGATGTTCCTTTAACAGCCCAGCACAGCATGCTGCGAACACTGAGCTGCAGCAGGCGGCTCTTGCACTTCCTCTTTACTTCCCTCCTGACCCCGTGGAGAAACAGAACTGCATTCCTTTGACCAGGGAAAGCACCCAGCCCATCCAGAGGGGAAAACCCTTTGTTTGAAAAACTGAGCACCAGCCTGCATACCTCTGTGGTGAGGCAGCCCAAGCTTGATTTGGGGGGCCTCAGGAATAGGATGATGGAGCAGCTATTTTCTCCTCCTACACGTGCACCCCCATCTGTTCAAGATTTCCCTTCCAACTCCAGCTTGGCTGGCAGGCATGTCCCTGAGAAGCTGCAGGCCAAAATGGAGAGAGAGAACTGACTTCCTCCTCCACACATCCTGACTTGCTGCCAACTGCCAGAAAAAGAGGGCAACATTTGGGCATTTACCAGAAGACAAGGATGTGCCTTTTCATTTGTCTTTTTATTTTACATTTAAAAAGTGGTTATTGCTCTAACTGTATCAGAGGTAAGGACCTCTCCCCTAAGGAGCCTTGCCCTTGCAGCCCCATTCAGCAGGGATGGAAGTCACAAGACAATGAGTGGAGCCTCATGCCCTCCCATGAGGAAGCCCTTAGTATTGCTGACATCTGCCTTTTACCCCATCTCTCCTCCCCACCTGTGCTGCCACACTCAGCCAAAGCAGAGTGGTGGCTGGCCCAGCCATGAGAGCTCTTGTAGACCGGAAGGAAGGGGCGGTCATTGGGTGATGGCTTTCAGCTCTCTGGGTTGGGGGCCATTGCTCTCATCATTCAGTTCGACAGGTATCCACTGAGCGCCTACTGTGTGCCAGGCTTGTGCTGGGCGCTGTCCTCCTGCATGCCCGTTCTCAGCCACCAGTGGAAGATGCAGAAGTCCATCTCTTCCCACACAGGCATTCAGCGGCCATAACTTGTCGGTCCTAGGAAGAGTCTGCCTTCCCTTATCAAGCACCATTTTTTTTTTTTTTAACCAGAAAGGGGCAGTGGAGAGAGAGACCAGTCACCTCACACCACTCAGGCTCTAGGGAAGGACATGAGGACCTGGGTAGCTTTCACAGAACCCTGGATGAGATGGCAAGATAATGGAGACCCCAGAGGCCAGGGCTGCTTTGACTGTCCGTGGTGAATGGCTCAGTCCTGCCTTCCAGCAGCTGCCACTCCAGAGTGGGTGATTTAGCAGCCCTCAGGATGTCCCGTGGATGTACCTCTTCAGTTGTGCAAGCCAGCACTGTTACAACTCTAAGAGACTTTCCTAAAGAAATGGGGCCAATACCTTCCAGGTCTCTTTCCTAGTTTGTCTTCTTAAGACCCCAGACTGATGATCTCACAGTCAAAATAAGGGCCAAAGAAGACAGAGGATGCAGGCAACCAGCTCGGGGAATCCCTCTGCCCTCTGGAGTGAAGCCCTTCGATTATGTTTTCCAAAAGTAACAAAACAGATAACATCTTACACACTCGCAACGTTTTGCATCACACCACAAACAAGTCCTTGATGGCTGGATCCAGAAAAGGCTTGATGGCAGCCATGACCCTGCCCGGCAGGCAGCCCCACAGCTTCCCTGATGGTTCGTGGTCTAAAAGACACAGCTTGAATCATTCTAGGTGCTTGTCATCTCCCAGGAGCTTTGTGCATTTTCTCAGAGAGGAAGCCAGTCCAGGAGAGGCGAGGAGGCAGAAAGAAGGCTGTGTCTCATGCAGCTTTGCCTTTTCCAGAACAGGGCCAGGCCTTTTAGTTTTGTGGCTTATTTATTTTTTTGCAGAATTTGGGTTTGTAGTTCAGCCTCCTCCACCAGACCAGGACGGGGGCAGAGGGAGAACTGTGCAGCCAGCTGTGCCTCCCCCCACCGCAGTCTTCCCTCTCTCTGTGCCCGTGGACCTGGGGACCGGCAGAGAAGAGAAACGAAATCCTTCTCCCTGCAGACAGGCAGTCACGCTTCGATGATGTTCACCGAGGGCTTGTTTGGAAACTGGGAGGAAAAAAATGAGAGAAGCGGCCAGGGCTAACTGAATAGACTCCTTGCAAGGTTGGAAACAGGGAGAGGATACGAGAAGGAAGGGAGCAGCGGGGCTGCAGCCTAAAAGCCAGGCTCTTGTCTCATGTGGAAGGAGTAGCCCTGCCTGGATGTCTTGTCTCTCTGCCTTCTCAAACCCAGCCTTCGGCCCCACTCACTGAGAGGCCAAGACTGGGTCCTGGGCCCACGGCCCTTGGTTCCCAGGCCACCCCCAGCAGAGCCATCCCGCTGGCTGGTTCTCTCAAATCCTGCAGATCTGCCTCTGAGCGCAGCCTCAGCCACTGACACTGTTGAGGTGCTTCTGGAGATGGGGGTTAATAAGAAGCTTCAGGAAAATGTGCCAGAAAGAGAGAAGCCAAGAGAGGACAGTAAGCCAGAGGATAAGGAGATGGAGGGAGGAGGAAATGTAGAGAGGGCCAGATGTTTGCTGGATAATCATCGTCAGAACCATGAGATCCTCTCACATCCTCTATGTCTTTCTTCTGAGCTGCTCAGAGCAAGCACTGAAAAGGTTTCATATCTGTTTTACGGAAGAGGAAATGAAGGTACAAAGAGGTGAAGCACCTGCCCAAGGTCACCCAGCACAGCAGGAGCAGACACGAGCCCGGACCCCCTACTCTTGCTCTCCCACACCAACCAGGAATTCTGCTCTTCCCATTCGCTGCCCTTTTTTTTTTAATCCCACTGGCCCTGGCACCCTGTAAAAGGAGAGGATCCAAAATCAATTTGCAGTGTCCCCTGTGCACACAGGCAGTGGCCAAGCTTGGCTCTGCCCAGCTGTAGCCATGCCAGGCCCTGAGCTGACCCTTCTGCAGTCTAGGGACTACAAGTGCACAAGCCATGGGGCTGCCCACCCGTGTCCTGCCCTCACCTTGCTGCGGAGAAGACCCCCGCCTTGGTGCTCTGGTGTGCTGGTTTCTGACGCACTCTTGGTTTTTTCCTTGTTGTTATTGGGTTCATTGTCCTTGATAATGTCATACTGACGGCAGAAGAGGGCGATGACGCCTGGTGGGGACAAGGGAGAGCAGTCAGAGGCCACAGCCCAAGTCCTTGCCCCCTGCTTCATTCCCACCAGCACTTGCTGAGCTCCGGTTGGGTACTGAGTCCAGATGGTCTCTCGCCTGCACTACTGCCACAGTCTGCCTCTAGCCTCTGGCTCCTAGGCCCTCCTGTCCCCTTCCCAGCCCTCCCCTTCACCGCTGCTAGGTTGATCTTCTCACAACATGCAGCCGACTGTATCTCTTCCCTTCCCTTCTGTTAAACCTCTGACAGCTCCCCTTGTCCTTTAGGAGGAAGTAGAAACAATAGCATTTGTGGAGCATGTGCCAACCCCTGTGCTGTGCACTGACACATTCTAGCTCCCTTAATCCTCACAGCTCTCTGAGGGTACCTTTTATCATCACTCCCGGGTTAGGAGCGAGGACACTGACACAGAGCTCAGATACCCCACTCAAGGTCACACAGTCGTGGAGCTGGGATGTGAATTTCAGGGCCTGCACTCTGCTAAATGTTTATTGTTATCAAACTAATAATACATGAACATAACATTTTTTGAAAATCAGATAGTTATAAAGCAGCCAACTCCAATTCTTGTAGGTGTTTTCTCCATTTTTACCTCTATATTTGATTTATACTGCTATTTCTTGCTCTGTTTTAGATACTGTCTGTTGACTTTCCATCATGGTAGACAAAGCCTAACAACTCCTTCTACTTCGTTCCCCATCATCCTAACAAAATTACATCAGGATTTTGGGTTAATTCGCTGTTTATATTGTTACGATTATGTAAATACGGTCTGTGCCAAATCTAATAATGCACCATAAGCAAACTTCCTCTTTTGTAAAATCTTTTCTTTTTCCTGCTTTTTTTCAAGTGCCTGTTTTTCTATGTGCCTACGGAACATTTTTTTCTAGATGCTTTTACAATAGAGCGTCCCCTCTCAACCGCCAGGCTAACACAGCTTTGGCCTGGTGTTTGAGTCCCTCAAAACGGACTCCATCCAGCCCCTCCACAGCCTCAGCGCCATTACTCCCCTACTTTCTGCCATCTCTCTTGAGTCACAGCTGCATGTAGCCAGACTGAGCTCAATTTGTTTCTTGAACACACTGTGCCCAGAATCCTTATTTTGGCTGCCTGGTGAACTCCTATTCATCCTTCAAAGCTCAATTCCCATGTTACCTCCTCTCTGGGTTTTCCCTGATTTCTGCGCCTAGCCCCAGAACTAATTCCATCTCTGCTGCTCTCATCACATTGAATTAGAGTTAAGTATGGGCCTGGCTTCTCCAAGACCGAGTGCCTTGCAAGCACAGGGCTCTTCTTAGTCATGATTGTAGCAGCACTATCTGGAATGGAGGGACTGTTCAGGAAAGGCTGGTCGAGTTGAGTACACAGATGAACTTTGGTCTTTATCCTCACGGAGCTCACAGACAAGTGGGAAAGAGAGAGACATGAGGCCAACTAATGTGTGTGCTGGGGGCAGCGAGGCAGGAGGATATTCTGCTGCAGGGTTGGGGAGGTTTTAGGGAGGCCTTCTCCGAGCCAGGTCTAGAAGGATGAGTAGGTTAAGAGGGTGTCCCAACCCTGAGCTGCCCAGGCCTGAAGCACCTGGAGGCACAGCGACCTGGAGGAGGAAGGAGAGGCTGCGGCAGCCATGGCCAGAGGGCAAAGGGGCTGTGGATGTGCCCACCCCCTGGAGCCTGTGCCACTCCTGAGGGAGGGGAAGGACAGGTGCTCACATAACCCTAAAAGACAGCTGTCAATAGGCGCTTTCTTTGGTGAGGCGTGAGTTAGAGAAGGGATCAAGTCTGCTCCCCAGAGCAGGACTTAGAGACTTCTCACCTTGTCTCTCAGCTGTTTCCAAGCCCCGTACCCTTCGTTTCTGTGAGAGAAGGGGGCTGGTCAGGGGCCTCCACTCCCCAGAGGTTAAGTGAAGAAGGGCTCGGAGGCCAGACTCACCGGCCCACATGAACAGGACCACGACGATGATCAGCACCTCGCCTGTCCGCAGCTGCTGGTTCCTCCCCATCTCCTTCATGGTCACCTCATCTGTGGAAAGAGGGACACCAGGTCCAGGGCTCCTTCCCTCCCCCGGCCACGCTCTAGGGCCGAGCCCAAGACAGGAAGCACTTATTTCTATAGGTGGCCACACATCTGATAAAAAGTGATTCGAGAACATGCTGATGGCTACTCGGGGTGGCAGCCATGAGACTTAATCCATAGTCCCACATTGATGGACCCACTGTCTTGGGGGACTCGTGTGAACCTCCTCTCTCTCAGGTACTGCTTTACCAGGCAGCAGGGGCGGGGGGAGCCATGCGGGAGTTAGCGCTTTCCTCGAGCCACCCTCTGCTCTGGCCCTGACCAGCCCTCACCCTACCCCGCCCCTGCCTTTGTTCTTGGACGCCATCTTCTCAGCCTCGCGCGGTGTCTTGAAGAGCACCGGCTCGCTAGCCGGACTCTGGCCCTGAATGGAGATGGCCTGCACGTGCACAATGTACTCAGTGTCCTCCTCCAGGTCCCAGAGGGCGCACGAGCGGGTGGTGGTGTTCACCTCCTGGATGAAGCGCAGCATCCGAACGTCCTTCTTCTGCCAAGGCAAAAGCCGCTGCTCTCAGTGTCCAGCCCCCCACCCTACTCTGGGGCTTACCCACAGGCCGCACCCGGCTCCCATGCTCAGCCCTTTACACACACAAGCTTACTTATGCATCCCATCATTTCTGGAGTAGGCACCATTATCTCCACTTTACAGATAAGGAGCCCGGCTCAGAGGTTAGGGAAGTTGCCCAAGGCCATACACCTAGTCAGACCTGGAGCCAGGTCCCAAACTCAAGTCTAAGATCAAGCCCATGCTCTTAATTCCCAGGTTCCAATCAAAGGCTCCTGAGCCCTCCCTCGCTGACTGATTCCCTTCCGGCCCCCCTTTCAAGCCATATGTGCGACTTTCTGCCTGTCTCTCTTGCTCCTCTTTCCTTCTCCCGTTCTCTCTCTGCACCCCTCCTCCCCACGCCACCGCTACTATCTTGGTGTGTTCTTCCCTCCCAGGGGCCCTCCAGGGTTACCTGCTGAGAGATGGCAAATCCGATGACAACCTCGTCCTCCAGGACATCCCAGCTCACCACCGCCGAGTTGGCCTTGAGGTGCCTGACAGTGACATTCACTGGGGCGGAGGGGCTGTCTGGGGGTGAGGCAGCACCTGAGCCTGAGCACCCCCTGCTGAGGCCTAGGCCTATTGTCTCATAAATGAGAAAGGGGACCCTTGGGAAGGCCATGCAGTGGGGGAAGGAAGAAACCCAGGCCTCCAATGGGGTTGGCACATGGGTCTCAGCTCCCTCATGGGTTGAAGAGCCAGGCCTGAGAGGCCCTAGGCTCCTTGTGTCCAGGTTGGGACCCCCTGGTGGCCACTACCTGCCCTACCAGGAGTCCAAGCTAAAGTCGATGGGCCTGGGCCAGGGGCCAATCTAATGGAGAGGGGGGTAAGAGGTTGGGGGACAGGAGACACAGGTGGCTGGGGTGGCAGGACTGAAGGGTAGTCTGATGAACGCAGTTAAAAACACTCCCAGTCCAGTACTTTTTCTACAGTACTGCGATGTCAAGTGAGTGACCTTGAGGGAAGAAGAAAGACCCAGAGGTCCAGAAGAGCCAGGCTGGGGTGAGCCCTGGGATGGGAGTGGGGATCAAGAGAGGAACCCCCCAGATCGTGGTGACCCGGGCAGGAAGAGCCTGGGGAGGGATCTAGGTGAGCCTCTTCTCCACACTGCCAGCCCCAAGAGGCAGGTGGGGAGGCGGCAGGAGAAGAGGGTCACTTAGAGCAGGGCCCCCCAGCTGAGTCAAGACTACGGTAGGGCCTTCTGGACACAGGAAAAGGATGAAAGAGGGGCAGTCGAGAAGGGAGTAGGAGGGAAAGTGATGAGGGCGGTGGGGTCAGGGAAGGAAGAACCTTCTAGGAGAGGAGCAGCAGAGTCACAGAAGCCTCTATATCCCTCCCAAGGGTCAGGTACTGCAAGGGGAAGACCTGGGCCTGAGCAGGACCCTTCATCCCACAGACGAGTGGCCTTGAAGCCCAAGGGGCCGGGGAGACAAAGCCAGACGTGGAGACGGAAAGAGACAGACAGACACAGACAGGTGGTGGCAGACACCGAATCAGAGAACAGACAGTGGGGTATCAGAGACAGACACAGAGACGGAAGCAGAGAGAGAGAGCACTGAGCCACGGAGAGATGGGCAGAGGTAGAGATGAGTGAGGCAGCAGCAGCCAAAGGGACAGACAGGGCGTCAGGAGAGGCTGGGGGAGGATGAGGCTGGGCCCCACAGGGCAGGCCCGACCCTGACTGCACCAGGCTCAGGGGGCCACCCCCACCCACCGGGAGCCCTAGGATGCCAGGCCCCATCCCCCTCACACATGCTCACCCACACTGGGACCCCATCCCGCTCCGACCTGCAGAGTTGGCCTGCAGGGCTTTGGGGACAGGGAGCAAGGCCCACGGTGGGGGGACCGGTGTCCTCAGCTGCTCCCTGGGCCAGAGAAGGGAGCTAGGGCACCTGAGGCAGAGGCCTGGGGTCAGGGGAATGGGATGCGGGGACTGGGGATCGCAAGACCCTAGACCCCAGGGCTGGGGTGGTGGGCAGGAGTTTAGGGGCTGCAGGACGGGCCTGGGGTCAAGAAGGCAGGGAAGAGGCTGGGGGTGCGGTCAGGGAGCGGTGATCGGGGCAGAGACGGGGTCCCCAGGGAGCAGGGAAGGGAGCGGCGGACTCCCGGGCCGGGCGCGAGGGGAGCCCGCCCGCCCGCCCGCCCCCCGCCCGGGCCCCCTTACCCGCCTGCACCAGCGCGAGGCAGACGCAGCCCAGCCACAGGCGGAGCGCGGCGCGGGGCGGCCCGGGGCGCATGGCGGCTCCTCCGGCCGGCCGGCCCGGGGCGGCGCAGGCGGACGCGGCTCCGGCGCCCGGCGGCCGCTGGCGCTCGCGCTCCAGCCCGCGGCCCGCCCGGCCCGGCCGCCCCGCGCCGCCCCGCGCCGCCTGCATGTCGGCTCCGCGGACAGCGACTCCCGCGCGGCGGCGGCGGCGGCGGCGGCGGCCGCGTCCACGTCGGGCGCCCGGGGGCGGGGCGCCCCCGCGGCGGGGAGAGGCGCGGGGGCGGGTGAGGGGCGGAGGGCGCCCCCTCCCGCCCCCGCTCCCGCTGGCCCCAGCCCGGGCTTCGCCGACCCGCGGCTCCCACTCGCTCACTCCTGCGAGCCGGGCTCTGCGCGCCCCCCGCGTGCTGCGCGCCGACCTCGCAGCCCCTCTCCCCCGCACAGCCCTGCCCCGGCCCCCGTCTCTCCCCTGTCCCAAGGGAGAGGGAGGACAAGCGTCACGGAGATGCCCCTCTGGGCCCCCACCCCACAGCTGACCTCGGCCTGGGAGTCCCCACCCCTCACTCCACCCCAGACCCCCGGCCTTGCTGGCCGGGGCAGGAGTGAGCAGAGGGGAGTCGTCAGCGCAGGGATGGGGTGACTATAGACTATAGAGTGCAGAGTAGGTGCCGGGATGCATACAGTAGCTACTGGGCCAAGAAGAGGGTCCTCTGACTCCCTGGAGGGCCAGGCCCTGTGACCCCGGGCCGATCCTTCCCCTTCTTTGGGCCTCCGTTTTTATCTCCGCAATGAGAGTAACCACGAGGGTCTCCGAGGTGCCAGAGGTTGTGTGGAGGGCTTTGCTTGCGTTGTGTTGCTTACTTCTCCCTGCAACCCCATAAGGCCTGCTCCGCCGTCGGCATTTTGCACAGAAGCAGACGGCAGCTTGGAGAGGCTGCTGGACTTGCCCGAGGACCCACCGCAGAGCCAATCCGACTCCCAAACCTGGGCTTGACTGGATTGCCTCCCCACCCAGAGCGAACTCAGCCCCCCTGGGATCCCTGAGATCCTAGAACTTGCCTGTGCCAGCTCCTCCCCAGCCAGAGAACAATCTGGAACAATCTCTTCCCAAGAGCAGGGTGCGGGAGGAGCGGCTCCAGCCCACCCCATCCCCCTTTCTCACCCGGCGGAACTGAACGCTGTGAGCAGTGAACGAGCTAACGCCTCTACCGAGCAGGGGGTTTTGATGGCGAGCAGCCCAGCCGCAGTTCATACAAGGGCTTGCGTGACCCCTCCCTCATCACCTTGGGGTCACCCATATGCCTACCCCTGCCCCTACCTCGCCCCACACACCCTTCTGCCCAGTCCACTCCTTTTCTGATCTTGGGGTGGCAGAGAAATGCCCTCAGCCTGCACACACCACCCTCTCCTTAAAGAGGGGCCTCTGGAGCCCACCGCCAGGCAAGCCCCCCAGCCCCACCCTGTGACACTCTCCACCCTGAGTCCCAGCCAGAGAAACAAGGTTGAGGAGAGAGGCACAGATCAGGGCCCCAGACTTGGAGGGGCCACCCATCTCTCCCAATGATGCCCCGCCCTTTCTGAAATTTCACCAGTAGTGGGGCATCCTTTTGGGTCTTGAAGGCCTTCTGGTCTTCCAGAGGCCCCTGGAAGGGCTAATCCTTTTTGGAAAGGAGACATCTTGAAAAGATATCCCACAGAACATCTTCAAGATCTCCCCCCACTCCTCCCATTTTAGATTAAGAAACTGAGGTCGGGAGATGGGAAGAGCTTGGTGCAAATTCACGCAGTGAGTCGAGAGCAGCAACAGAGGCCACATCTCCACATACCCCGCCCAGGACTCCCTTCCCTGCCCAAGGTTCCACTTGGTCACCTTGGAAGGGGTGAGATGGGAGGGAGCTCAGCGGCTCTTGCTGAGCAGCGCAGTCTAACCCCAGGCCTGCTCCACTTGGCAGGCTGACACCCCCAGCCCCATCTGCTTCCTCAGCCACATACCTTGTCCTGGGGTCAGCCTCAGTTGGGACCTCCACCTGTTTGGGATAGGAGCCGAGGCACGAGAGCAGCTCTCTCTCCTTTTTCTCTTCTCTCTCAGCAGCTGCTTTCTGCCCCACCCCTCCCAACCCGCCCCAGCAGCTGCAGTTTGGCCCCTAGGGACCCCCTCACCCACCAGGCAGGAAGACAACCAGGGGCCTGCAGGAGCAACTGGAGTCTCCTCAGGCCTCATCACAGGAGCCAGCAGGAAGGAGAGGGGTCAGTTAGAGGTCGGAATCCACTCCTGTCCCTGTTGGGGAGAAAAGGAGGAGGGACAGGGTCCTGGTAGGGTCTGGAGTCCAGTCCGGGGGAGGTGGTGGATTTAACGCCACCTGCTGGCCTCTCCAGGCATAGCCCCAGGTAGATGTGAGGCATTGGGAGGGGCAGATGGCTGTGTCTGCAGGTTTTAGAAGGATGTTCCAGGAAGGGTGGCTGGAGGAGCGGGCATGAAAGACAGGGGGTACTTCTGCATTACCTCGATTCTGGGAAAAGTCCTGATGCCTGGCGCCTGGCCACCAGCGGAAGCAGGGTTGGGGATGGGAAGAGCTGGGAGGGTTTAGAGGCAGCCGGGGTGACCCAGGGAGGGGGCTGTCGTGACCAGTTCCTCTACACCATCTCTTACACAGGGCTAAGAGCGGTAGGCACTCAGTCAATGTTTGTTGAATGTACGGAGTCAATTTGTTCTTCCAACATGTATTTATTGAACACCTTTTATGTACCAGGCTCTGTGCAACATTCTGGAAATACAGCAGCAGAAGAATGAGTGATTGCATGAACGGCGATCTGGGTGGGGGTTGCGGGGTGGGCTTCTGTCCTACCCAGCTGCACTGGTCTCCATTTGGAGGACCCCCACGGACCTCTCCTGGGGGCTGCCTGGTCACTTATGCATTGGTGCCTGTTGAGGTCATGAGCATTTGGATGGTCCTGAGGGCCCAGAGCTGGCCGGAGTCCCAGCACCTACCCCAGGCTACAGGTGCCCAAGCCAGACCCCTGGGAACCATTTAGAGTGGAGGGGCTCCTCTTCGCCACCTAGAATGGTCATGGCCCTGTCTAGGGGCCCCCTAGATGCACACCCCCTAAATCACAGGAGGAATCAAGAGATCGCCTTGGGGATATGATAGCCAAGCACCTACCAAGGGCTTGGCTTTTTGTCCATGTTATTTTGAGTCTTCAGCTGGTAAGTGTTATTACCCCATCCCAGATCAGGAAGCTGAGGCTCAGAGAGGTGTGGGGACTTGCCCTGGGTCACACAGCCAGTGAATTATGGAGCTACGTCTCAAATTCAGTTATGTGGCTCCAAGTCCAGGGCTTGACCCAGTCTGCCTCCCTCTGGGGACTACTCAGGGCGGGGTCCAGGGCCCAGGGCTCACGACAGGGCATATGTGTTCCTTCCCTGGAGGGCTCCACGGGGCTTGCTGCTCACAGATGCAGTGGCTAAGCTCAGGGTCAAGACCACACTGAGGAAGGGCCCCACCACTCAGCCGACACTTTCCACGTGCTGACACATCACATGCATGAGAGAAGCTTCTTTTGAATCCTCACGATCCTGAGCAGTCAGGGTTGTTACACACATTTTATAGATGAGGAAACTGAGGCTCAAAGAGGAAGCGGCTCGCATGGGTCCTACAGCTGGGAGACGCTGGTCTGGCCTGTCCAATCCCCCAAATCCTCATCCCAGGAGTGATGAGGCCAGCCCAGCTCACTGTTTCCTGAGTGTCTGCACCAGGCCAGCCTGTGGCTGAGTGCTGAGGACGTAGGGTGAACCACACTGGTCTCAGCCCTTGAGACGCTCCCACAGTAGAGAAGGAGAGACACTTAAAATACAGAGAGGGGGCTGTGTTCTGGACCAGGAGGCACCAAGGATCTACAGGGGCCGGAAGGGAGCATTAAGTTGAAAGGAAAGCAGGGAGGGCTCCTGGGAGGAGGTGACACCTGAACTGAAGTACTGACAGTCAGGTGGGAATCAGTCAAATGAGGGGAAAGGGGCAGAGGGAAAAAGGAACTGTCGGCCCTGAGGCCTGGTAGAGCACAGTGTCTATGTGGAGGGGAAGTTGGGGCAGCCGAGCAGGGTGGCAGGGAGGCGGGAGGGGTCGCTGCCAGCTCTGAGCTGTGACAGTGGGAGAGGAAAACTAAGACTGATTTGAAAGACTGTTCTGGGGGCCAGCCCGGTGGCACAGCAGTTAAGTTCCCACGTTCCGCTTGGGTGGCCCAGGGTTCGCTGGTTCAGATCCCAGGTGTGGACATGGCACTGCTTGGCACACCATGCTGTGGTAGGCGTCCCACATATAAAGTGGAGGAAGACGGGCACGGATGTTAGCTCAGGGCCAGTCTTCCTCAGCAAAAAGAGGAGGATTGGCAGATGTTAGCTCAGGGCTAATCTTCCTCAAAAAAAGGTAGATAAATAAAAATAAAATAAAATAAATGAAAGACTGTTCCAAGCTTGCAAGAGAAGTCAGGGCAAAGGAGGGCTTCATTGAGTCCACAAAGACTTACTGAGCACCTCCTCAGTGTCAGGCGCTAGGTTCGGTCCTAGGGACACAGCCTTGAACAGGATGACAAGGTCCTCGCCCCCAGGGAGCGCACATTCCAGTGGCAGACAGGCAACAAACAAGTGAGCTAATGACTAAGTTAAATATCTTCAGAGACTCACGGGGTTATGAAAAAAAGGAGTAAAGTGGTAGAGAATGGCTGAGTGGGGTAATCTTAGGTAGTGTGGTCTGAGGAGGGTGACGTCTGAAAGAAGACCTGAAGAAGGAAGAAGAGCCAGGCATAACACACCCCACAGGAAGGGTGTTCCAAGTGCAAAGGCCCTGGGGCAGGAGTAAGCTTGGCACGTTCAGGAAACTCAAAGAAGCCAGTGAGACTGGTCTTCGTGAGCAAGAAGGAAGAAATGAAGGTGGCTGGGATGACAGCCCAGGGCATGGGGCTGCGGAAGAGAGTTTAGGCTAATTCCACTTGCAGTGGAAGCTTTAAAGAGAGACGTGGTGTGATAGGATTTACATTTTAAAAGCCCACTTTGCCTGCTCCAGTACATAGACCAGACTGCAGGAACCAGGGCCAGGTGACCTGTGAGGAGGCAAGGAGGCTGCTGCAGTCGAGGCCAGAATGATGGGTCTTGGCCTGGGTGGTGGCAAGGACCAGGGAGAGACGTTGATGGAGGATTCAGGACACTTTTGTAGGAGGAGCTGATGGATGAGATGAAGCAAGTGAGGAGAGAGGAGAGGAAGAGGGAACAGGGCAGGGGTCCGCTCTCCAGAGTCTGGATTCTAAGCCAGAAACATCTGGCTGGGTGTCCCTGGGCCGGTGACTCCACCTCCCTGAGCCTCAAATGCCTCCTCTTGAAAGGGGAGATAATAATATCCACAGCACAGAGTGGTGGAAGTGATGGTGAGGGTGGCAAAGAGGAGGAAGGAGAAAGAAAGGGAAGAGCGGGAGGAAGAGCGAGAAGTAGGGGGAGGAGCGGGAGGAGGAGCGAGAAGTAGGGGGAGGAGCGGGAGGAGGAGGGGCTGAGTGAACGCCTCCTAGTTGGGGAAAGGAGACCTCTCAAAATTCTTCAGTTCTTCAGAGTCTACAAAGGAGCCGACTCCCATCTGACAGCGCTCAGAGAGGCTGGGAATCTTGCCCAGCATCACACAGCCAGTCGGTGGCAGATTCTCGCCTCAAATTCCCTCAAACCCTGGACCCCAGCTTTGCGTTTGGAGACAGATTCCCAGCTACAGACCACAGTCGCCAAGCTCCCTCAAGAGCAGTGGGACCAGAGGCCCTATTTTAGGGGGACAAGATGTGGAGGGGCGGGTGTGGCAGGAAGTGTGGCAGCTGGAGTGAAACCTCTTCCCCACCAGGGAAGGGTGAAAGGACAAGAACCTGGGGATCAGACAGCCCTTGGGCTCAACCTTCAGCTCAGCCACTGATGGGCTGGGTGACCTCAGGTAGCAGCATCTGAAGTGAGGGTCCCAGGCTCAGGGGCCTGCCCTGCCCGCGTCCCTGCATCCCTGCATCCCTGGTACCCGAGGGCCTCCCTCGGCCTGAAGGAACAGGGCTGTGCAGAGCCAGGAATGGCCAGCAGAGGGCGCCTGACTCGGCCACAGTGAGGCCAGTGGTGCCCAGAACAGGAACAGTTCCCGGCCGGAGCTCTAGCTGGGCCAGGCCGCCCTGCCTCCTGATTTGCTCCCTCTGTCCCCGTCCCAGGACGCCAGCTCCAGGTGGACAGACCACAGACTGAGCAGCCAGGCAGAGCCTGAATCTTGCTGCCACTGAACTGTGCACAAGTCACTGAACCTCTCTGAGCCTCAGTTTCCTCATCTGTAAATGTGCCTAACAATAGCGCCTGCCTCTCAGGGTTCTGTGAGGCATCAGTGAAGACCCACCACATAAGGCCTGAATACATAGAAGCTGCTATTTTTATTAGCAGTGGTGGCAGGTGTATCGTATCTTAAAGTGCCCGACACAAAGGTTGGTGGTAGCTATGACGACAACAATGATGATGATAATGATGCAGGACTCAGTCCACTGTTTATCTTGAATTTCCTACCCAGGGAGCGTCCAGTGCCTACTGACCTGGGGTGCTGCCAGTGACAGGGAGCTCACTACCTTCTCAGCAGCAGGTTTTCACCATCAGGTCATCCTCTTGCTGAAAGCCGCCTCCTGGAAGACATCACCCCCAACCCCCTGCCCAGGGTGGCCCAGCTGGCCTAGCCTCTGGGCTCAGGACCTGCTGTTTCCCCAAGATCTGCCTGAGAGGTCGGGGGGCCAGAACCCCGTAGCTGGATTCCTGCCTTCGCTGGAAGGGCGGGGAGCTCACAAGGGACCCCCGGGGGCTTTACCCGCAGGAGATTCCCAAGGGCTCTTGTTCTTGCTGTTCAAAGTTCCTTTTCTGCTGACTAGGAAGAGATAAATGCAAGGGAAGACCCTGTCATCCTCTGGAGCCCCCTTCATGCCTCGGTCTCAAGAGTGGCTGGGGGCCGGAGAGGCATCTGTTGACCCTGAGCCCCAAGTCCGGGATCCCTGGCGTTCTGGTTGGGAGGCCTCAGCTCTGCTGCCCCCCTGCTGCCAGGCCTCCCCATCTGTGTTTGTGGGTCTCAGGGTGAGTCCTCATGGGTCTGGCACCAAGGGACTGGCAGGGAGGGAAGGAACTAAACAGTCTTGGGCTCAAATCTTGGCTTGGCCATGCCTACTGGGTGACCTCAGGCAAGTCACTCCACCTCTCTGAGCCTGTTTCCTCACTGGGCACCTATCTTAGAGTAGTGTTGTGGAGAGTACAGGAGATGTTAACGTGAAAAGGACGACGCAATCCTGGGCACGTGGTAAGAATCTATAAACGTAGCAGTGAGTTTTATTACAAAGCAGAAATCCCTCATTTCCCCACCATCCCTGTTCCTGAGTAGCCAGGGTGGCTGTGGGAGTGGGCCACGTCAGGTGGTTATTGGGGACATTGTGCATGTGCCTGGGTGTGCAAGGGTGTGCGTGTGTGTTCACAAAGGGGCGTGAGTGTGCAAATACACATGCATTGGGTGTGTATGCATGTGCAATGGTGCACACGAGCATGCATGCTTGCATGTACCTAAGGCTGCCCGTGGCAGGGATTCCTCACGGGTACCCGGGCGTTATCCCTGCACTGATGCGGAGGCCCCTCTGTTCACTGTTACTATGGGAACGAAGAGGCAGTCCCCAGCCTCAGGGAGAGCCTAAAGTGCCAGAAATGGGAGCTGACCCAGTCTTCCCAGCAAGGGAGACAGATCAGGAGCATGAGGCCACTGGGATCTGGCAACTGCAGCCTCCAGGGGTTGGGTCTGGGACTCCAGGTCCCTCTGAGCTCTCTGGGAAGCCCTCACTTCTCCAGGGCATCCTGGTCCACTGGAAAGAGCTCAGGAAATAGAGGTGGGCCCCATCTTGGATCTAGCTCTAACCCTGTGCACGGTCTCAGGCAGGGAACTTGAGCTCTTTGGGCCTCAGTTTCCTCTTCTGGAAAATGGGCACAATCGCAGGTGCCAGCAGAAGCCTTGAGCTGGGGTGTTACCTGTCCTCTCCCAGAAGCACCTGCCCTCAAGACTGTATGCGTGTATGCCCCTGAGCCCTGCAGTGTCACCGAGCAGCCTCCTCATGTGCACTACCCTCCACAGTGTCCTGTGGGCTCCTCAGGATGGAAGCCTTTCCCAGAAGAGGAACTGAGGCTCCAGAAGGACACAGCTGGCTGGTGGTGGGGCCAGGTCTGCTGCCCTCATCTCCCCCGGGCCCAGCCCTGCACCATATGTGCAATCCCTCAGCCTACAGTGCCACATCACAAGGTGGCTGGGGATTCCAACCGCTTTTCTGGGTTGGGAGGAGCAGGCTGGGAGGAGAGTCACCCTGGGGCTTCGGGCGCTGGGTGCCGCCTTCAGCCTGCAGAAAACCTCCCAGGGCAGGGCTGGGCCTCAGGAAGGCAGATCCCAATTTAGGAAGAACTTTCTTTTTAAAATCTTGACTCTCTCAATTTTGACTCAAGTCTCAACTGTCCTGCATGCAGGTTGTAATTCATCCAGACAGAACTGCATATAAAGTTACAATGAACACTCGGCCTCCTGCCCTCTAAGAGGGACCACTCCATTTTCTACAAACCTAGGAACAATTTTTGACAGGTCAGAGACAGCAGGAGGGGCAGGAGCGAGCTCCTCAGCGATGGAAATGTGTAAGAAAAATCCGAATGCTTATCTGTCAGAAAAGCTGTCACAGAAAGGGTCACTTCTGATTTGAGGAGGGGGCAACAGGCTGGGCCTGACTGGGTGGCCTCAGGCAAGTCACTGTCCCTTCCAGCTAACTTTCACCAGCGGAGGGAAGAGGATTATTGTGCAGCCAAGGGTTGGCTGACACGTGACCCGCGCTGCCTGCGTCACTGCACCCCGCCCCCACCTAGGGGGAAACCCATATGCAAGGATATGGGGGTCAGGGAGCCCTTTTTCCCCAGCCTGGATGCCAGATCCCCTCTCTCGGTACAGGGGAGAACCCAGCCACCTAGGAGAGGTGCTGGACTCGTGGGAGTTATTGAAGGAAGGTGGACGGTAAGAGGTGAAGTCGGGGGCTGAGGGTTGGGGCGTGGCGTGCGAGCCTTGAATGTCCACTTCCTGTGGTAGGCAGTGGGGAGCCATGGAAGGTTATTAAGCAGGGAGGAGGGAGATTAGATTTAGAGAAAGGGAAGGAGGGGAGAGCTGTAAGAGGTCTGGAGCAATAACACAGGGCTGTCTGAGGAGGGAGTGGGGCAGGGGATGTGGGGGGAGAGGAGGAGCCAGGCCTGAGAGACATCCTCTGGCAGAAGGCTGACTTGGGTAGGAAGCAGGTGTGAGGGTGTGGAGGAGGGAGAGGTCCCGGATGGGGTGGGGCTTCAGGCTTGTTTGGTGGATGGAGGGGAACCCAGACACAGGGCAGGCTGGGGTGGAAGGTGATGAGTGGAAATTGGCCAGCTTGAGTCCCAGGTGTCGTGGGCTTCTGGGAGACAGTCCAGGAAGCAGCTGGAAACGTGGGCTTTATTGAGAAGGAGCCAGAGGGTCAGAGGGGTTGTTTGTGCCAACTTCCCCAAAGCTGGAAAGGGGTCACCCCTGGATCTTACCCTGGGTCCATTGCCGTGTGAAGGCTGTAAGCTCACACTGAGGGACGGGCAAAGATGCGGCCCCTTTCTCTCTCCCTTGGGGTCCTGGATTCTGGGCTTGGCAGAGAGATCATATACCTTTACCTAGGAGAGAGTTGATGCTCTTCTTGGGGCCACTGCAGCCATCCCTCTGCTGCAGAGCCCACCAGCCTTGGGGGCTCCGCGAGCAGGATTTCAAGCCCAAACTTCCGCTCTGTAGAGGGACCGTCTGCAGCCAGCCCCAACCTTCCCAATGCCCCAACACCAGGTATCCCCTATTAGCCGGCTGGAGCCCACATTAATTGGGCGCTGACTATGTGCAGGCCCAGTGCCTGCACTTTACAGGCTTTCTCTCACTTCATCCTCACAGCCACCCTTGGAGGGGATCTATTATTATCCTTTCCATTTTACAAATGAAGGAACCAACTGAAGCTTCCAGGGCCTTGCCCCCTCCCCTGGGGGTTGGGGGGTGGGTCAGGGTTCAGCCTGCTCGGTGGGACCTGCAAGGCTACTGTGTGACTTGGGCGGGCAGGGCAGCTCTCTGAGCCCCATCTGTAAACTGAGCTTCGTTCGAGGGACCCCGCTCCACCAAACCCCCCTCCCACCTTGACTTCGGGTCTGCAGTCCCAGCTCCCAGGACTTTCCCAACACCCTCACCTCCGCCCCCGTTCTGTTCCTCATGGCCCAGCTCCTTTGGGAACAGCCAGGCCTACCCAGCTCCCCCTCCCGGGCTGTGCTCTTGGCAGCTCTGCCACCCTGGGCTCTGGTCCGGGGGTGGTCCCTGGCAGTAAGGGGGGCTGGCGGAAGCTTGGATTGGTTGGGCTAAGATGCAGGGTGTGCAGAGACCCCCAGGCCCCCACCTCAGCATCCAGTGCTTCATGCTGGGGTGGGCAGGGCCCTGTGGAAAGGGGTGGCTTGAGGTTTTAATCACTTTATCAATGTTTGTTTGTGTAATTCAGCCCCGAGATGCTTTTCCCTCCATCTGTCCCCACCATCTGCTCCCATCAGGATTTTCCAAACCATTTGGGACCAAAGAGGGGAGAGTGGGGGCTGGGCCTCTGAGGGGGCTGGAGGGGGGCCCCCCTCCACTTACCTCCCTGAGGGGCTCCCAGGGAAGGGCCTGGGCTCCCGAGTCACACGGAACTGGGTTCAAATTCTGGCACTGTCACTTTCTTGCTATATTACCCTGGGCAGGTGACTTCACTTCTCTGAAGCCTCAGTCTCCACGTCTGTAAAATGGCAGTAACATTATTGACTCCTCAGGATTGGTGCGGATCAAAGGAGGTGACATATGCAAAGCACTCAGCATACAGTAGGCGCTCGAAAGACATGTGGTCCCCTCTCCACTCATCCCCCACTTGCCTCTCTCTCTGGCATCCAGGAGCTGGTCTGTCCCTCTTGGAGTGCTGGAGGGTAGCCACCTCTGGTTTCTGTACCCCTCACCTCACTCCTCGGATGCAGAGGTCATTCGCTCCTCTGGGACTTGCTCTCTCTTCCATCTCCCTTGGACCCGCCCACTGCTTGGTTCTCTCAGTACCCTCCCTCTACATCTGCCCTAAGCCGCCCCTCTCCCTCCCTTCTAGATGCCTCAGTCCAGCCTCGAGACCTCTGATAGCCCCACAAAAGGCCTTCATGGAAGACAAATCGGCAGGGTTCCAGGGTCATGGGGCCTCATCTATGCATGCTCACGTCCAGAATCTCAGGCCTGAGGGGCCAGGGAGGCAGTGAATGAGGACTTGTCTTGTCAGTTGTGTGGTCAGGGGTTTCGATGAGGAATGTCAAGACACCAAGGTCACCTGTCTAACCTCCCTGCTCAGAAAGGGGAAGAGAAGTGTTCCAGGTCATCCTGAAGCGAGGGACCCAGGCCTGCTGCGCCCCTTTCCTGGGCTATATCTCAGGGCACTAGGTCTTGGGCTAGGGGCCTTGATGTTTAAAGGGCCTTCTCTTTGGCTCAGGGGCACCTCCAAGTTCTTCTTAGGCTCCGGGGAGGGTAGAGGTGGCTGAAGGGAAGTAACCAGCAGAGTCACCAGGGCCCAAACTCTGCCCCCAGACCCAACCTACTCATTCTAGGGGCAGGGAAAGTCAAAGGGAGGTGGGGTGCTCAGGGTGAGGAGAACACCATGGCTGGTTCTGCCTTCAGAAGCCTCAGCTACTGGGGAGACAGGATGCAGACTGGAGTCCTGAGGGCAGGGCATCCAAGCCACCCTCACAGACAAGAAAAACAGTGGGTTGGGGAGAAGTAGGCTCCTGAGGGGCTGAGCCAAGGAGTCAGCCTGGAGGAGGAGAAGCTGGGGCAGGGGAGTGGGAGGAAGCAGTAAGAGTTTGAGCAGCCCCCCGTGAGGGTGAACTGAGACCCCTCAAGGATGGAGAGGAGGACCCAGAGCAGGCTGGGAAGATTCAGGCTTCAGGCAGGCGAGAGGAAGGAGGAGGCGGTGAAGAGGGGCGGAGGTCACGACTGCAGGGCAGGCCCCTCTCCTGCCCCAAGCACAGCGGGCCCTCCAGGCCTAGTGTGGAGAAGGGAGGGAGCTTGTCACTCAAGGGGCCTTGGGTGGGGGCTGAGCAGCAGGCTCTCCCCACCCCCAGGTCCTCACACAGGAGGCAGCTGGGAACCACCCACACATGTCTAGCGTCTCTCATGCCTCCACAGGGGTCCCAACACCAGAGCCAAGGCACACAGAGGAACTGGTGTTCTGGAGGGCCCAGCTGCGCGCACACACACACACACACCCAGCAGCTTGGCTCCCCAGCTTCTCCAGTTGAGACTCCTCACTTGCCCTCAAGCAGGAGGGACTCAGGCTAGACTTTGACCACCTGAGAGGCTTGGTCTGGGAACCTGGAGGTGGAGCTTTGGAGCCCTGCGGAGCCAGGAGAGTCCCAGCTGGCACCACCGAACCGGGAGGAGCTGTCCAGTCAGAAGACAAATGCTGTCAGCTCACCTTCCAAGTAGGTCCAGAAACCAGACCCATCTCTGCCACCCTGGTCCTCTCTCACCCTGAGATGGCCCTCTGCTCCCAGGCTGGCCCCACCCTCAAAGTCTGTTCTTGATAGAATCCCTGAGTAAGCTTGACCTGGAAGTCAGACCCTCTCACTCTGCTCAAAACCCCAAGAGCTTCCCATCTCAACTGGAACAAAACCTGAAGTCCTTGGCATAGTCCTCAGCATGCCACCATCCCAACCTCCGCACGGCGATCTCAGCTTCTCCCAACACTTATCTAATACACTAGAGAACTGACTTGCGTATTGTGTCCATTGTTTACTGTCCGCTCCTGTAACCCCACTGCCTAGAGTAGTGCTGGGCACAGAACTAGTGCTTGATAAATATTTGTGCAATGAATGGATGAGGGCACATGGATTCAAGTCCAAGCCTTCCACTTACTAGCAGTGAGATGTCGGAAGAATGGTTTAACCCCGCTGAGCCTCCGTTTCCTTATCTGTGAAGCGGGGACAACGTAGGGGTGTGGGGGTTGTTGCTGAGGCTGGGGGAAGGAGGATGCAGGCCCCATACTGGCAGGAGGAGCTCTGATGGGGTCAGCGACTCTGGAGAGGGGCTGTCCTGTCTGCAGGCAGGGGGTCTACCTTCCGGAGGACTCCCCAGCCCTCGCATGTCACACTCCTGCACTGGCAGAGGCTGGGAAGGGGGAGGAGAGGGTTTCCTTGATTGGCGGTTGGGGGGAGTGGGAGGAGCAGTTTAGATCAAGATTGGGAGGTGGGATTCATTCTGAGAGGGGTCCTGGGGACAAGATCGAAGCGGCGGCAGGAGATGGGGGCGGGGCTCTCTAAGGCGGAGGTGGGGTAGGGGGCGTGTCTGGCCCCGGAAGACCTCACAAACTGGAGGAGTGGGCGCTGCCCCCTCTCCGAAGAACCCCCAGCTCAGTTAGTTCCGGAGTTGAGGCGCGGGGGCAGAGAGGGTGCCTGCCTACCTAACCGCTCAGGATCCGATTCCGCCCTCGGAGCGAAGTGCCGCTCCCGCGCCCAGGTAGGGATGGGGGAGGAAGGCGGGGGGAGCGCCGCTTAGGAAAAAGGTCTCTGGGCACTGACCCCACCCTACCCCATTCAGGCTACCTGAGTCGAGATGCTGAGGAGATGAGGACCTCAGTCCTCCTTCCCCGCTTGGGTGCTCTCTTGTGAGGGGGCCGGGGAAGTGCGGGCGTCCCCTTCCCTCTCCTGGGCAGGGCTGGGGGCGGAGCCTAGCCCATCGCTCCCTCCTCGCCCGGGGCTGGAGGGGAAAGGGAGGAAAGGGGACCCCCCCAGGGGAGGGGCTCCGGGCGAACGCTGCGGGGCGTTTCCCTCGCAGTCGTTCCCCCCGCCCCCCGCCCGCCCCTCCGGCCGCCTCTGCCGCCGCGCGCCGCAGCAGCGCCGCCTTCCCTGCGCAGTCGGTGTCTCCACGTCGCTGGGTGAGTGGGGGCCGCTCCGGCCGGGGCCGGGGGCTGCGGGGAGGGGGCATCCCCGCGGGAGGGGGCCACGTCCAGGGCTTCCCAACCCCGCCGCTCCCGCGCCTCCCGGGAATCCTCCCTCGGCGGGCGCAGGGAGCGGGGGCTCCCCCGGGAAACGCGCGGAGCTCTCCAGGGTCCTGACCGCCGAGTGGCCGGCCCGGAGGAGTCGCGTTTCGGCCGCCTCGGAGCGCCCCCTCCAGGAGGGGCCACGCGCCCGGCGCTCTCCGAGTGCTGAAAGGATTGAGGCGGGGGCTCAGAGAGGTTTGGAGAGGGTCCCAGGGGCGGGTTTCTCAGTTCGAGGTGTGGGTCCTTCCCATTTTGAGGACTGGGGGTCTTTGCGGAGACAACAGAATCTTCTACCACCCTCGTTTCCAAGTCTTCCATCTGGGAGGGGCAACTCTGAGGGTGGCGGGGAGGAGGGGGCACTGGGAGATGTCTCCTGCCCAGCGCATCTCTGTGCCCCCGCCCTGATGACCCAATTCCTTAGACCTTGAGGAGGGCACTAAGGGACACACTCTGTCGCCCTAGCCTCACGCATTTCCTCAGTCCCCTCCCACACACTTGTTCAGTGGGTCCTCAGCCTGGGGCAGAAGAGGCTGATTTAGAAGGGAGGATCACCAACTTACAGAAATATGCATGTGACACACTGCTGAGGACACACACAGGTCCCCCAAATGGCCATACAGTCACATCCTCCTCACACTGTGACGGGTGCACACCTAGTCACATGCACATATGTGCACATGCACATATATGGATTGAAACACACGGGGAGACAAATGCAATGCAGAGAGCAGGGACACACGTGCATACTTGAGCGCATGCATTCACACACTCACTCACATGTGCACAGAGCTTCGGCACATGCACTCACAAGGAGCTCCCTCGTCCTGTCTCACAGCCCTAAGCTGGGGGGCAAGTCACCGACACACAGCCTACATCCCTGGCCGGAACTGCCTGGCTGTCTCCCCTCCACTGCCTTCCCCTCAGCCCTCCACACTCCAACCCCCTGCACTGAGGGGACCTTTGTTAACTAGATGAAAGGTAAGTGTTGGAGGGAGGTTGGCTAGCTAGGGGTCTCCCTGGAAAAGGGTCCTCTAGTAGGTCTGAGAAGGACTGCAGCTTCCTCCCCTGGGACCTGGCAGCACCCCTGGGAAAAGAAAGAAAGATGGCAAGCGTGCCTGAGGGTCCCACGTGCCGCTGGCCATGTGAGAGGTGTCAGCATGGGAGTTGGCTTGTGATGGCATGTCTGAGACAGGTGGGGTCGTGGGCTGGTGTGTCTTGATGCACAGGCTATGAGTTGTGCGTGTGTGGTGCTGTGTGTCAGTACATGTGAGTTGTGGAGCAGAGGGAATGTTTTTGTGTGTGGAAACATGGTGACCCATGGGTGGATATGGCTGGTGAGTGGCATGGGACCCAGTGTGTGGATTTGGTGAGACGTGTAGCATAATATCTGTCAGCATGTATTCATTTGTGTATTGTTGTGCATAAGTCTTGTGGCATCTGGCTACATGGAAATCATTTTTATTTATTTAACACTTATGTAGCGCTTAGATGGCAGGCATCTTTCTAAGTGCTTCCCATGTATTAACGAATTTAATCCCCACAACAATAATGAGGTAGGTACTATTACCCCCACTCTACAGATGAGGCAGAGCGATTTTGAGGAACTTGCCCAAGGTCACATAGCTGGTAAGAGGCAGCGCTGGATTCAAACCCAGGTGGTCTGGCTCTCAGGCCCATCACTAGCCCAGGCTAACACCTATCTTATGCTGCCCCTTGTCAGGCACACGTGTGTGGGAGACAGAGCCCAGGTCAGTGTCTGGGCTGCAGGTGTATTTTGTGTTGAGCAGGCAGGTGTGAGGCAACGCGGGGGCAGTGTGTGGGAGGGAAGAGGAACAGAAGGCCTTTCTGCATCTTCCTGGTCCACTCGGGGGTCAGCCCTGTCAGTCCATGGCTGTGTGACCTGAAGCAGGTCACCTCACTTCCTTGAACCTGCCTTCTCATCTGTAAAATGGGGCTGATGCCCAGGCTTCAGTTTGTGAGAGTGAAATGGTGTACACCTGTGCAGGCTCAGTGACTGGCACTGAGAAGGGCCTCAGTAAATGTGAGCCCCTTTCCCTTCCTCTGTCGCCAGGTCTGTTCCCGAGGAACTGTCAGGTCTGGGGAAATGGTGTGGGGCGTGTCACAGAAGCAGGATGCCTGGGTTCAGGCTGTGTGACCTTGGGCCAGCTCCTCTCATTGGGTCAAAAGAGAGGCTGGGGGCCGGCCCTGTGGCGCAGCAGTTAGGTGCGCACATTCTGCTTCTCGGTGGCCCGGGGTTCACTGGTTTGGATCCTGGGTGCAGACATGGCACCGCTTGGCACGCCATGCTGTGGTAGGCGTCCCACATATAAAGTAGAGGAAGATGGGCTCGGATGTTAGCTCAGGGCCAGTCTTCCTTAGTAAAAAGAGAAGGATTGGCAGTAGTTAGCTCAGGGCTACTCTTCCTCAAAAAAAAAAACAAAAAAAGAGAGAGAGGCTGGGGTGGCTTGGATGGGGGCCCTCCTGGAGTGCTGTCAATGGGCCAGGAGGGTCTGACCACTCCTCTCTGCCCCTTGATCCCCTTGGGGACCCAGGTGGGACTTGGCTCGGTGGCCATGGGCAAGCAGAACAGCAAGCTGCGGCCGGAGATGCTGCAGGACCTGCGGGAGAACACGGAGTTCTCGGAGCTGGAGCTGCAGGAGTGGTACAAGGGCTTCCTCAAGGACTGCCCCACGGGCATCCTCAACGTGGACGAGTTCAAGAAGATCTACGCCAACTTCTTCCCCTACGGTGACGCCTCCAAGTTTGCTGAGCACGTCTTCCGCACCTTCGACACCAACAGCGATGGCACCATCGACTTCCGGGAGTTCATCATCGCGCTGAGCGTGACCTCGCGGGGCCGTCTGGAGCAGAAGCTCATGTGGGCCTTCAGCATGTACGACCTGGATGGCAATGGCTACATCAGCCGCGAGGAGATGCTCGAGATCGTGCAGGTGGGCCCCTGGGCCCCTGAGAATGCCAGGTGCAGGGCCTGGCAGCTTGCACCCACCTTCCTTTTTATCCTCTCCACAGCCCTGGTGGGTCGGTAGTGGCAGGTGCTCTTCTTACAACCCATTTAAAAAAACTCTTTATTAGGAAATAATTTCCAATTTAAGAGAAGTTGAGAAAACTCTCATTTACCCTTTGTTCAGATTCACCAAGTCACATTTTACCACCTTTGCTGTATCATCATGTGTGTGTGTGTGCGTGCGCCTATGCGATGTTTTGTTGCCGTTCTGAAAATGACCCTTTACCCTGAATACATCAGGATATATTTCCTAAGAACAGAGACCTTCTCTTACATAACCCGTAATATGATTATTAAGGTCAGGACATTTAACACAGAAACAATGCTATTATCTAAGTTACAGACCATAGTCCAATTTTGCCAACTGTCTCAATAATGTTCTTTATAGCATTTTTTCCCCTGGTCTAGGATCACACATTGCATTTAGTTGTCTTGCCTCTGTAGTCCCCTTTATCTGTAACAGCTCCTCAGCCTTTCTTTGTCTTTTAAGACGACATTTCTGCAGAGTATAAGCCAGTTATGTTTTACTGATCCTCATTTACTCAGAAGAAAATGGATGCTCAGAGAGGTAAAGACATCTGCTCAAGGCCACACAGCCTGTGAGTGAGCCACCTGGCTCCGTCATCCACATTGCATCTAGATACCCAGCCACTTCCCAGCTAATGGATTAAGGGCCCGCTATGAGCCTAGTACTAAGTAAGGTGCTCATACCCATGAACTCAGTGCATCCTTACAACAACCCCATGAGGTTCAGAGAGGTGACATGACCTGCCCAAGGTCACACAGCATTTAAGTGGAGTCAAGCTCAAGCTGGCCATCACTCAGAGCTGCCTCTTGAAAGGGGCCTGGCTTCCACTTCTGGAGGTGGCCTCAACTCTTAGATTGCTCACCTGTAAAACAGGGATAGTGATGCTGACCTCACGGGGAGATTTGAGGACCTAATATGAATGCCCTTTCGTGGTACAAATTTAAGTGTGACACATGTCAGCTTTATCCAAAAAACCTTCCAGAGTGCCCATCTCCTCAGCCCAGCACTGAAGACCCTCGGGGCTCTGGTTCTATTGTACCTATCCAGTTCTGTGTTCACTTTTTCCTGCGCCTGTTTCTTTGCCTGTAGGGTGAGGGTGTTAATCCCCTACTTTACAAGGCTGTTGTAGGTATAAAGCGGGATGGGGACGCTAGCAGAAGACCTGGCATATAACGGGTACTCAGAAATGTTAGCGATTGTCAGTTATGAGTTTCTCCACGCACATTCTCTCCTCCAGCCAGAATGGCCTTTTCAACATCCCTGGAATGTGCCCTGAGTAATCCCGCCACCCAGCTTTGCACAAGCTCCTGCTCCCTTTCCCTCAGTCTCTCTGAATCCTTTCCCTTCTGTTCCCTCAGTTCTGCTGACTGCTCCCCCTTCCAGCTCATCCAGCCCCTACTGGACTCCTGACGTTGGCTTCTCTCTTGCTAAGGGTCCAGGTCTGCTCTCTCCAGCCGGTGTAAAATGGGCAGCCTTGGGATGCGGTGCCCTCCCTATGCCTGTTACTAGGGGGAAGCCTTAATGTTTGCCAATGACTCCGAAGGCCTGGCGTTCACTCTAGTTGATGTATAGCAGGAGTTCTAGGAGTCCTGGTGGAAGAGTCGGGGTAGCCAGAGCGGTGGAGGATCATTCAAGGATTGGGCAGAAGCTGGATATGGACCAATCCAAAGAGATCTTCATGTTTTATCACTTAATGTGATTGCACTGGTGTATACTGGCAAATCTTAGCCCTGATGGAGGCGCCAAGCCAGGGCATCTGTCAAGCCAGCCCTATTCCTGGGGCACCCTTTCCTGGCTGGCCTCTGCTCTTTAGGCCCTGGTTTCCTGTACGGCAGCCTGGTGGCCTCCGACGGCTGGCACAGACAGAGCTCTGCAAACCCCAGTGACTGATTAATTACAAGTCAGCTCCATGAAACAATGAGTGAGCAGCAATTCCAGACAATTAATTAGGAGGCCCAGGAGAAGGGTTGTCACAAGGGGAGCTGTACTCTCTAAGTCACTCACTCAGTTCTTCTCGATTCCCAGCCCTGTGGTCAGGTGGTGGGCACACAGGAGGGGGAGGGACTGCATCTCCAGGCTCCCTCTCCGGTGGGAGAGACAAGTGTGCAGGCCACACTGACCAGCTCGGTGACAGGGATGTAAATGTAACACCTGGGAGTCCAGGGGACTGAAGGGCAAGGAAGACATGAGGATGTGGTGGATGAGTAAAGATTATAATATGAGCACTATTTACTAACCACTTACTCTAGCCAGCCACTGTTCCAACTATCCTACATATATCATCTCATTTAATCTTCTCAACAATCCTAATAAGGGAAATATAATTACCCCCATGTTACAGATGAGGAAACTGAGGCTCACAGGGGTTAAGTACTTGCCCAAGGCTACAAAGCAAGTCATTAGAGGAATCAGGATGCCACTCGAGGTCCACCTTACTTCAAAGCCCCTGCTGCTCATCACCACCCCACAAGCATCTATCCAGCAGCTAAGAGAGAGCAGGTTCTAATCCAGTGTCTGCTATCAATTCCCTTTCCGAGTCTCGATTTCTTATCGCTATACCCGTTTTTCAGGGTTGTTGTGAGGTTTAAAAATAATGCATGTAAAGTCCCTGGCACGGAGTAGGTGCCTGATAAATGGTAGCTGGTCTTATTGTTCCAGGCAGAGGCTGTAAACGCTGGGAGATCTGAAAGGAGCAGGAGAATTGTAGCAGGGGAGGCCTGATGGTGGAGAGGTTAGCAGGGACCAGAGCGTGAAGTGCCTTGAATGCCAAGGGCTGAATGGTTTGGACTTGGTACAGAGGACAGCGGGAGGCGCCAAGAGCTTTTAAACAGGGGAGTCGCTGCCAGATGCCAGGCACTGTGCATTCTGGGAATATGGGCACTAGCTAGATGTCCATGGTCCTTGTCTGTCTGCTGGGGACCAGGAGCAATCCTCCAAAGGCATAATTACTTCCGAAGAGGTGTCCCCAAAGGAAAAGCCCAGGAGGCTCTGGGCCTGAGCCCTGACCCAGCCTGGATCAGAGAAGGCCTCCCTAAGAAAGCGCCATGTCAGCTGAGCCCCAAGGAGGAGTGGGAGGCAGCAGAAGGAGGGTGGGGCAGCATCCAGAAGGAGCTGGGTGCACGGCGGGGCTGGAGGGAGGCCTGTGTGTGTGATGGGAATGAGGGGGCGGACCACTGGGCTGAGGACGTGATGGGGGAGATCTGTGTTTGAAAAGAGGCAGCATGGAGGACAGACCCAAGGAAATGCGGCGGGAAGAGACCAGGGCAGAGGCTGAAGCCAGATCTGAGGCAAGGGAAGTTTATTGGAGGAGGTGTCAATAGCAAAGAGCTGGAAGATTGAGGCGACCGGTCCGGTCCCTGAGCTCCGGGGTGCCGGGACCCAACCTTTGCCACAGGCCAAGCCCTATGTGCCCTGTGTACATTTTGCGCAAAACTCCTCCTTCGCGTCGCCTCGGGAGCTCCTGCACGTGGCGGCTGCGCCCTGGGCCGGGCAGCAGGTCCCGCCCCCGGCAGATGCTTATTTGCGTTTATTTGCATGACACCCCCCGCCCCCTCCGGCCCAAGCTGCCTCCATCCCTCCAGCCCTCAGCGCGGCCCCCCGCCCCCTGCCGGCCACAGCGGCGTCGCAGCCCAACGCCCTCCGTCTGCCACCGAGCGCGGGCCGCCCGGAGCCCCAAGTTTCTGACCAGCCGCGCTAACGCAGTACTTAGCTTGGCACCAGGTCCTAAACCCGGCCTTCTAGGACCCCCGTTCACCGCCTGGGCCCCGATGTCCTCCATCATCTCTCCTGACCCCCTGTACTCAGCCACCCCAAAATTCTCAGCGCCCACTCAGAGCTTCCCGCTGCGGTGCCTTTGGTCATGCAGATCCCTCTGCCAGCGATTCCTTTCCCACCTAGCGCTCCAAGGGAACTTGGTCGGGGCCCGCTGCAATAGCCCCCTCTTCTGGGAAGCCTTCCCAGACACTCCTTCCTGAATCCCCCAGTTCTCCACGGCTTCGTGGTCCCCTCTCCACCTCACCGTGGCGGGGGCGCGATCATCAGCACACCTGGGGGGGTTGGAATGTTGGGGGTGAGGGGCTCAGGCAGGCGGCTCACTCCCTGCCTTCCCCCCCCCCCAGGCCATTTACAAGATGGTTTCGTCCGTGATGAAGATGCCGGAGGACGAGTCGACCCCGGAAAAGCGGACTGAGAAAATCTTCCGCCAAATGGACACAAACAACGACGGTGAGGGGGCAGGGGCAGGGGCAGGGGCAGGGGCGGGGCGGGG